TATCCCATCTTCCTTTGTTCTCTGCATGCAGGTAGGACATGTATGGGAGATGTGTCTGTGTGAGAATTCTGTTAGGAGAAAGTGTTATCTAGCTTCATGATGCACAGTCAGAGGGACTCCAAAAATGAAACTTATAGTCCTCAAGTGCAAACGCCAGTGCATGCCTGGGAATATGGTGTGTGTGTGTGTGTGTGTGTGTGTGTGTGTGTGTGTGTGTGTGGTATGTGTATATGTGTATATGGGTTGTAAATGTAAAAATGTTCTTTAAAATAATGGGCTTAGATTTAGGAAGAAGAAGGGAGATTTGAGTGTGCGAAATAGGTGCAAACAGGCTGATTGTTTATATGGTTCTACCCAGAAGGTGATCCGCCAAAATCTGTGATGCATTGCCAAGCAGTGTGAGTTGTAATGAAATAGAAAGAGCTGAGACGCTGGAACCAGACACATGGGCTTACTTCCAGCTCAAGCACTTTGAAGCCAGTGTGAGTTGAATAATCTGCCTAACCTATCAAATTTTTCCTCTGTAAAGGCGGGAGAAATATAGTATTTACTTCCTAGAGTCTTTAAATGAGGTAAAGCATGGAGAACATTCAGCCCAGTGGCCTCTGTAGGTGGTAAGTAATAAGTAATATTTTGCACAATCAGGGGGACATTGAGGACTAGAAACAGCATTCATGGACATCAGAAAGGGTCTGTGAACTGGACAACATCCCTTTCATTTGGTGTTGAAGCGATTGCCACTCAGGCAGAGTATCAGAGAATTCATCTTTGTGGGCACCATGCAAAACATCTTATCCAAACGCTTTCACTGATGAAAAACCCAGAGTGCACCAAATTGATTTCCCAAAACCATTCAGAGTGAGCAGCCGAACCTGGCTCCAAGGAGGCTCCGACTCCTAGGCCCTATTCTGTTGTCACATTTCATTCCTGAGCTGAACTCCTATCCCTGGTATCACCAACCCAACCCTCCAGTCTCTGCATATATTCATTCATTCATTCATTCAACACAAATTTCCTGACCGGCTACTGTGTTAGGTTTTAAGGATCAATCCAGACATGGTCCCTATGTTCATGGAGCACATAGGCGGAAGCAGAAAAAAGTCTTTGATAAAAGAAATGAAGTGAATGGAACAAAATATCATTGCAACTAGAAGGTGAAGTCTATAGACTTAGGTATCTCTCTGTGTGACTGTTGCATCCTCATCACTCTGAGAAGCTGGCTCATGGCTGGTCCTGAGGAACATTAGTTGAGCGAAGGCTGGCGAGTGCACTGTGTTAGTGCAGCATGTAGAAGTGTGACAGGGAGTGTGCATAATGGGGGCCTGACCTCCCCTCCGAGGTCAGGAAAGGCTGCCTTCAGGAAGGGATGCTGAAAGGGGAGTGGACACTAACTGGATGAAGCGAGATACAGCGAGTGATGGTGCGGGAAGTGAAAGTGGACAGGAAGCCCTGGAGGAGTGGAAAGCACAATCCCAGCAGATCAATACGCCTGGCAGCCATATCAAGAGCAACAGTGATAAGATGGATCACGGAAAACACTGGCAAATGCCAGCGAGAACTACAGAACCTTCTCTTTATACAACAGTCTTTAGCCTGGCATACCTCTGTGAGCAGCATCATATTATTGACGATTCACAAGGACAGGCCAGGAAGTACTGTTCCAACTTTAGCAGAGTAACTGAGGTCTATCGTCTTTGTGTGTTGTCAAAGGCATATATCTAAACATGTGTGGGGCTCTCTCCATATGTACGACCTTATTTGGCACTCTCACCAGCCTTTAAAGGCAGGTATTAAGATCCTGATTCCATACACGGGGAAAGTGAGGCTCGGCAAGGTTAACTAGCTGGAACGTGACTGGCCAAGTTGGGATATAAAGCTATGTCTTTCCTAGTGTCTGAATTGTACCTCCTCCCTCTCCTCAACTCATATGTTGAAGCCATATGTCTCCAGTGTGTATTTGGAGATTGAAACTATAAAAAAAATAATTAAGATTCAATGAGGTTAAAAGGGTAGGGCCCTCATTCATCAGAGTTATTGTCCTAATAAGAAGACACACCAGAGAGCAATCATCTCTCTCTCCCCCACTCTTTCCCTCTCTCTCATCTTCTTTTCCTCTCTCTGATCCTCTTTTCTCTTTCCCTTTCTTCCTTTCCCCCTTTCTCCCTCCTCCCCTTTCTCTCTCCCCCTCTCTCCATCTCTATATCTACCTCTATCTCTCTCCACAGATGCTCACAAGAAAGTCATGTGAGGACAAAGTAGCCATCTAAAAGGCCTCTTTCCCACTCTCTCATCTTCTTTTCCTCTCTCTGATCCTCTTTTCTCTTTCCCTTTCTTCCTTTCCCCCTTTCTCCCTCCTCCCCTTTCTTCTCCCCCTCTCTCCATCTCTATATCCACCTCTATCTCTCTCCACAGATGCTCACAAGCAAGTCATGTGAGGACAAAGTAGCCATCTAAAAGGTAGGAAGAGAGCCCTCATCAAAAACAGTTTTGGCCTCCAGAACTCTGAGAAAATAAATTTATGTTGTTTAAGGCATTGGCCTATGATATTTTGTTATGGCAGCCCTAGCAAATTTGATATAGTCTTGATGTATATCTGCTGCTGTTATCTGCTATGACACACCTCTTTCCTTAGTTCATGATGAAGAGGGACAAGATCCTGGATCATCTAGTGGTCAGACCTAGGCTGCTTCTGTTGGCTCTACTCCGTGGTGGGCAAACCACAGCTTGTGAGCCATATGCGGCTCTTTGGCCCCTTGAGTGTGGCTCTTCCACAAAATACTACTTGGGGGCATGCACAGGCAGGAAGAGAGCCCTCATCAAAAACAGTTTTGGCCTCCAGAACTCTGAGAAAATAAATTTATGTTGTTTAAGGCATTGGCCTATGATATTTTGTTATGGCAGCCCTAGCAAATTGATATAGTCTTGATGTATATCTGCTGTTGTTATCTGCTATGATATACCTCTTTCCTTAGTTCATGATAAAAGAGCCGCATGTGGCTTGCAAGCCGTGGTTTGCCGAACCGCAGTTTGCCGACCACTGGCCCTACTTCCTGTCACTGACACCACTAACTGAGGGGGTGATAGCAGGGTAGGTGGCTGAGCACTCTAACCCCACCCTTTCCTCGTGGTTTTCTCAAGACCAAGGATGGACAGTCATAGACCTCAAGGTGTGGGCGGAGCGAGTGGCTTGTGACTGTCCTAGATCCAGCGGTGTGGAAAGACATTCACAGAGTGCTTCCGGGTCTGGGCAAGTCAAAAGTTAGCACTTTTTATATGACTGAGAGTGATCATATTAAAGGAGGGCTGTGAGGCTCTGCCTCTGCAGGCAGAGCTGAGTACCACCTGCTGCTTCATCTAAATGCCTCACTCTTTCTCGCTAGCCTCTGGGTAAACATCAGCATCTGCTGAAGGGCCCAGTGTGGATTCACTAGCTAAGTGTACCTCAGTGTTGCTTAACCTCTTTCTTCCTCCTTGTCACTCATGTTTAAAATGGGGTTAATAACCTGTCTGCGCAGCACTAACATGATGTCTGGAAATCAGTAGATATTTTTATTATTATTAATGACTCCAAGCACTTCTACTTTACAATGAAGGTTTTAGAATTAAGTCTTTAGCCCTTTTTGCCTTGGGCTGAAAGTATAAAACATTCCTACGAAGGTGACTTCCCCATGGAAACAATAATCTGATAATCCATTTGGTCTCTGGGCTGGCTTCCTCTTGGTGTTGCTGTGTATAGAAATAGCAGAATGGTCATCCTTTTTAAAGGCCACCAAGTAGAAGGGTTTTTTTTGTTTTTTGGGGGTTTTTTTTTTGGGGGGGGGGGGGGGCAGGACCCTTTCCCTGAAACATATAATGGCATTTCATATGTGTACATGTAAAAGCCATCTCGGTCTACATGCCTGCCACTTAAACTGTACAAACCAAATCCCTAAAGTCTATCTAAGGATAAATCAACCAGGGAGGTGGAGCAGGCAAGCCTGTCTCTGAAGTAGGCTCAAGTTCAAACGCATAGGCATTCAGGCAGGCAGAGGAAGGAAGGAACATGCGGTACCCACCTGCCACTGCTGATGAGGGGCTTATTTCTAAGACACACACAGCACAATGCACACACCATGCAGAGAGAAAACAAAAGACATAGATCACACATTTCAGATGGTTGGTGGACGCCGTTTAGTCAATGTCAATGCCGAAAGCTTTTGCAGTGTCGGATGGGCACGTGGGAAAATGAAAACCTTTTCGTTCTACTCACCAGATGCTTCCCTCCAACCACATCTCAGCAAATCAACAAATACAGACACACAAGAAATCTCACAACAAGCTGGCCCTGGTCCTTGGTGTGAAACGTGGCACAAAGGAGATGGACACGGCAGTGTGGGAAGATTTAGTGAGAGAAGGACAGGGCTTCCAAGGGAGGCCGCCCTGGCTCTGGGGCGCTCTCCATCCATGTGGGAGAGAAAGGGCTCCAGAGAGAAAGGCTTCGACGCTCCCACTGTGGACAGAACAGTCCTCATGAGGAGGCCTCAGAGGGCTGCTCTGTTCCTTCCGATGAATGAGGACATGACACGGCAATCAACACGAGAATCATGATGGCAGCAGTTGACTTGGCTTAAAACTATAAAGCCAACCCCCCTCAAAAATCATAGACTCTTACTAGAGAAGTTACCTGAAAATTATATCTAATTTGCCTTGCAGATCTTTCCATAGCACTACAACTGAACTGTCCCCGGGTTCTGTGTTGTTATGGCAACCACCATCAGACTTGGTTCTGACTTGGGTTTACCCCTTTTGTAAGGTGCAAACCTTGCCTTTCAGTAGACCAGGGGATATAAACACCACTGTTCCACATGTGAGGAGAGTGACAGGGGGAAGCGTTTTGTATCTAAGGGTGGTGGGTTGAGCATTATGGATGGACATAGGCCAAGCAGCTCATGCCTTCCTCCCTCATGTCCCTCGAGCCCCTCACGTGGCCGAGCCCATGCGCCCAGGCTTCCCGCACTCACCATACAGTGTGATGCTGGTGTTGGTGTTCCCAAGCTTGTTTGTGGCCACACAAGTATAGTTCCCATAATCCTTTTCTGAAACATTGAAGAAAGTCAGAGTGGATATGCGCCCTTTATTCTCAATCCTCACGCCGTCCAGGCCGGTGGCTAGCCTGCAACAGAGAAGGCACTGCTGGTCTGGTTCTACAGATAGAGTAAAACAGCAGACAGAAGGTGTTGGGAGAACTAAGATACCATAGGCCAGTGGTCGGCAAACTCATTAGTCAACAGAGCCAAATATCAACAGTACAACGATTGAAATTTCTTTTGAGAGCCAAATTTTTTAAACTTAAACTATATAGGTAGGTACATTGTTATTAACTTAATTAGGGTGCTCCTAAGTCTTAGGAAGAGCCACACTCAAGGGGCCAAAGAGCCGCATGTGGCTCGAGAGCCGTGGTTTGCCGACCACGGCCATAGGCTAACCCCACAAGGAGGCCTTCCCCTTCCCAAACCCTCTTTCCTCGGACTGACTCAGTTCCTGCACCTCGAACCATAAGCACCATAGCTCCCATCAGCAGGTTAAAGAGAAGGATGCTAACATTCCAAAGGCTACATGTACTGGTTCTCATCATCAAAGACTGCCATGTGTATAGCTAAGCTCAGATTTGGAAATAAGCTCAATTCATTAGCCCATTTCCCAGCTTCCTCCTCTTTTTTTTTGTCCTTGTTTCTGGTTCTAAAGGAGCCTCTGTTATAAAGAAGGCGGTAATGCATTTTGGTTCCCCCCTTACTGCACCCCTCTCCTCCCATGTAGGAAATGCTCCGTCAGCTCTGCTCAGACAGCCCTGTTTCCATTCTCACGGTACCTGGTGTCTTCCCTGAACCACTGGAATTCAGCGGTGGGCACGGCAGATGCTTCACAGCTCAGGATGCCCTTCTGACCAACGGACACACCCATGTTCTTGGCTTTTGAGATATAGGGAGGGTCTGTGGGGAAAAGGCAAAGCGATTTCATGACATGGATAAAGGGCACATTCAGTCGCCCTGTTGACAGATGGATTTCTTTCGGCACCTTACCTTCCCAGTTAAATTACCAACTATTTTAGGGGAAAACCTTCTTGCTTGAAGATATTGCCTTACCCCAGCATCTTCTTTAGGACTTTAAACCAACTCAAAGCTATCCATTCTCCCCATTGGCTAAGAGCTGTGACAGTCACAGGAAGACTTGAATGGGGCACAGCAATCTAGTCAAGTATTTTCCTGATGGAGACAACTGGGTCTTTCAGAAAACAGCATTGCCATTACCAGCTGTTCCCCTTAGCCCCTCCTCCATCTCTCCCCCCACTCCCCGGACTCCCTGACAATGGTCAACTCACAGTTTACAGTGATTTTGACTTTCCGCACATCAGGAGCAGCCACATCGTTCAAGGCGCTGCATTCATACTCCCCCGACTGGTCACGTTTGATGTCAGAGATTTCCAGGTATTCGTCCTCACTCACAAAGCCCTGGCCTTCTGGGAGCAAAGGAGCAGACAGAGAGCAATCATGAAACTGGGAAACCAGGGACCAAGCACATGCACGTCTAGAACTGGGAGGAGGAGGGATCCGAAGCGCTGCAGAGAGGGGGTTTAGACATCAAGATTATAAAATGTCACGTTTGGTCCAAAATGATGGCATTTGAAGAAAGGACTTTTCTGCTTGAGTCTTGGATCAATGCCTTTTTGTCCAACTCACTTTAACTTTTTAGACTATTTGGTGAGAAGATATTTTTTTCTTATATGATTTGTATGAGGATAAATTAAGAGTACATGTGAAACAGGACAGCACATTACTAGAATTTGATATTTCAGAGAATTGCCCTGGTCAATAATATAACAAAGACTGTGGGAATAACTTTAGAGTATGTTAGTATGGCCACCTTCATTTTTTCACTATGTACAAATGCCTTTGAATACAGAATACAAACTACTACTTCGTGCAGAACAAATAAGTGGCCACTTAACATGTTAATACAAATAAATGCCAAACAGCCAAACAGTTTGGTTTCAAACTGTGAAGGAGAAGATAAAGTAAAGAATGAATGAATAAGAAAAGACTTTGTGACTGCTATGTAGTAGGTGTGCTATAATCTCTTGCCAACATAAACATGATAGCCCCAAATGATGGATCCGCGGTTACTAGAATGGTCTCATGGATTCAATACCCGGCTTTGTGGGGGGCATTCTGGAGGCTTAGAGGGAAACTTAAAACATTTCAGGGAAGACACTGCAGAGCATGGAGCCTCCTGGGGCTTGGGGTAGGGCCCTATCTGTAGGAATCTCAGAGTGATGGTGCTGGTCGCAGCTCTCGACTCCAACAGACATTTAATCAACCAGGTTAGTTCATATCATAATTCCTCAAGGTTCATTAGAGGGATATATATATTCATATTCCATTTTCCTTATTTTTCTTAGACTTAGAATTTCATAAAGGAGATTCTAAGATCATTCATTTCAGGGAGTCTAATAAAGATGAATATCGCCTCACTTGTTGAAATAATGCGGGGTGACCAATCTACGATTTATAAGGGTTAAACAACAACAAAATTAAACACACCAAAACGTCTTTGTAGATTCATTGCACTGTTCCTTTTCTGCAATGAATAAATGTGGCAGGATCTGGCTTCCTTGGAAGACTCTATTATTCTTTCCAAGTGCACTAGAGGGTATTTGCCACAGGTAATTCAACCCCATCGCATTCATCCAAACACATGAGCAGCCCACATGCAGGGGGCCTGACATGTGCCTCAGGCTTGGTCCCTGACCCCTCTCCTGGGAGAGAAGAGGCGAGACCATATCATGCTGCACGAAGTAGACTAGACAGATGTCGTGAAGGCCCCGATAAAGCGGGTCAATGAATACAAGTCAATGCAGGAGTGATGGCTGCTCAAAGGGAAGGGTTCCATTCACAGAAGAAGCAGGCCAGTGTGCCAGGACCCCGAGTGGTTCCCCGCATTTGGGAGTAGGACAGTTCCTGGGTCCTTCATGGGAGAAGAGAGGGAATTCATTTTCACCATCTGTAACGCCCTTTTTATGGGATGGATATGTGACAGCAGAAAGGAAGGAAGGAAGTGTTTCTTGTAAAATGGGGATCATTACGATAATGCTACCTCATTAGGTGAGAGATGAATTTGTCAAATTTGTGCTGTAAAGTGAGTGCTTCTCAGATTTTAATTTGCATATGAATTCTTCTGGGATTTAAAATATATAGAGAGAGCTCTGAATCAGTGGGCCGAGAGGGGGGCCTGGGATTCTGTATTCCTAACAAGTGTCTCCGTGCTGCGGGGCTGAGGCCCACTCTGAGCGGTGAAGCTGAAAGGCACCACCAACTGCTGCTCTAGGCTCCTCCTACTCACACACGTATAGTTACCTGGGCCTGTGAGGTGGCCAGTAGGTCAACAAGGGCCACCGAGTGCCCCCAGTGCCCAGGTCTCTGCGGAGCAGCACATCAAGAACAGGGCTCGGAGGGTCCACAGAGGTTGAGTGTCTGAAGCCCTAAAGCTAACATTCCCACCAAGTCTTTGTGGTCTTACTCCAAAACACGCATCCTGCCAACGCAGCTCCTTTGCTAAGAAATGAGAGGCGGATGTTGAAGCTCCTCCCATCGCACACCCACTGAAGGTGATAAGATGCTATTTTCTTATCCACTTTGAGTCCTGGGTGAGCTTTTAAAGCAGGACAAATCTAGGTTGCTCAGTGCCTGGAGATCTAGGAAACTGCAGGGTTTAATGCTCTCCTGCCCTCTCCAGTTCTGGTTGCAATGCACAATTCTGATTCCATGCTGCAGAGCAAGGGGCAGGGGCAACAAACGTGTTCATCCTCTTTGCTAGCTGCCAGGAAGCCAAAACCACTGACTATGGAGGCAAAGGGAGGGAAACAGGGGCACAGAGAAACACAGCAGGAGGAAGACAAAT